CGTCAGTTGGCTGTGCTTTTAGCCAGATGATCTAATTACCGATCAGATTTGGAAGTCTTTGGCCAGGCAATGGAAAGTTTCGCCGTTCAAATACGTGACAGAAAATGGGTAGCATAATGGCCCGGTGAGTGTTAAATGGTCTTTAATGGAAGTTGTTGATTTTTTTGAAGATTTTTGGCGGATTTTTTGTGCATTTTTTGTGGATTTTTTGTTAATTTTTTGTGGATTTTTTGTTCATTTTTTTGTGGATTTTTTGTTCATTTTTTTGTGGATTTTTTGTTGATTTTTTGTGTTTGTTTTGTGGATTTTTTGTGAGGATTTTTTGTGAATTTTTTGAGATTTATTTTTTGGTGACTCTTACTGACTAATTTGCCTTTAGTTAGTATACAATTTTATGTAACTTTTGCTTAGTATTTATATTAAAAGTCTTTTTTATCAGAGAAAAGTATCTTATTAGCCAAGAGTTTGAAGGACTGGCAAAAGTAGGCTAAGAAAAATGTTTAAAAAAAGTGAAAGTAAGCCAACTTTAAGCCCTAACTTAAACTTTAAACTTTAACCTTTCTTTAACTCAATTTTCTTTATCAATTTTCTAGTCACTTTAAAGGAAAATCTATCAATAATTAACCCTAACTTAACTTCTATTACCTTTAAATCACCCAAAAATCTTTCCAAACTCCACCTTTTTAAGCCACAATGACCCTCTTATCATCTCCACTTCATCTCATTTTGGCCAAAAATCGTTGTTTTTTCTTAACAAATAGTAAAAAGAGGAAGCAAATGTGCCACACGTGGCTGTTGATCGACCCAGAGATCTCTCCCTCCATTATCCCAGCCCCAAAACAGATTTCCCATGGCCTCTTCGATAGCTTCGATGATGGCTAATCGAAAACTTGAAAATAAAAATCCCCCTGCTTATTTGAAAAACATGATTTTTGAACCCAGTTCCCAATCAATGCAATTAATTTCGCATTGAGGTCTCAAAACGAACTATGCCACGCCCATAGAAAAAAAGGCAGTTAGGCGGTACGAGAAGGAGGGTAAAATTGTGACGCAAGCAAAAACCTCAAAAACAAAGTGGAAGGTGTACATAATGAGACACATAGACACCATCCAATCGAAAAAGAAAAATCCCCTTTTGCCAAAGAGTTGCCTATGTATGGGTGTGTATGTGTGTGGGAGTAACACTCACATAGGGTTCACTTCAGGTGGGGTGGTGTACTAGCTAGCCACCTTTCCCCTGCCCCTACCCCTCTCCACTCCATCAAACTACACATACGTAATTGATGAAAAGTAAATACGTTTTGTGCAAATACAGATACAAAAAAATACGAAGTGTGAATGGTGGGGTGATAAGGTTAGGGGGTTAGGCGATAGGGGGAAGTGTGCTGCCTCCGCTTGGTCAATCATCGAATCAAATCCAATAATAATTATAAGCGTGGCGCGCACTTCTGACTTCGTTTTTTTTCGATTCCCATATATATGTATAACCATCATATATACCCATTCCGTTAACGATTCCGATTCTTTCGCACGACGGCACTTCGTTTCGACTCCTCCATTGACGTCGTCGACTTCTCCGTCGTCGCTGCTGCTGCCGCCGCTGCTGTTGCTGCCGCCGTTGCTGCTGCTGCTAGTACTGCCAGTACTGCTTCGTTCTGTTAGGAAGATATCAAGATAGCAGATAGCAGATAGCAGGAGCTAACCAGTCGCCAAAGCGGTAACGTTGACTGCGACAGCGACAGCGACTGAGGCGCTGCTGCTGCTGCTGCCGCTGGGACTGCCTCACAGGCAACGGCAACGGCAACGGCAACGGCAGCGGCAGCAGCGGCGGCTGCCGGCGATTTTCGTATAAATATAAAATTATGCGACGGCCGGAGACCATGAATCAGTTTCGCTTAGACACACGCCAATGCTAATTGTCCCGGGTTTGTGAACCCAAACAAAAACGGAGTTAACCCGCGACACACAATCACCAATATAGAATCCACAAATATAGAATCTATATAACCGAGACAGTCCTTACTGATCTCTGAGTTAACAAACACAAGAGTCTATATATATCCTCAACATCAGTATTATCTACAAATATATATATCTAAGCCATGGATGGTGCCAAAATAGAACGTGATCAGGCCTCTAAAATGCCACAACAAAGTAAGTATAGAGGGGGTGGTGGGTGTAAAGTCTATTTTTTGTTTAAATTAGATCATTGCTGTTTTCCCAGAAGATAGCTAGAGGCTAACTTAACTTAACTAACTTTCCGCGTTGTCTTTCGCAATTGTACTAAAAAAGAAACATGATTTGCACGGCCGGCTACGGCGGTTACCCCATTACGGAATAACTTCAATCGGTTCCCATGATTAATGCTGACTATGTATAGGTGTGTTTGTGTTTGTGTTTTGTTTTGTTTTCTATCTTAGTGTGTGTGAGTGAGTGCCTTAGTGCCTTCTGTCTTCTGGGGTGAATCCCCCCACATTGCGAACGGACGGCGAGTGATCGAACTGTTAATAATCGGCTTCGACGCTAATGCCAATGTTAGTAAATAGCAAGGTGGAATGTGGAAGGAAGGTGGTGCCAGTTTGCCAGTTTGCCAGTTTGCCAGTGTGCGATCGGTAAGGCCAAACTTACTTGCCTCCAAAAATAAATCTCCTTCAAAATTCCACAAACAAAAAGATTTCCCTTCAAGCTTAATTAGCGAAATAGAAGTTGGAAATTTCCCTTTCTTAGTTGAAAGTTTTTTGCCTTAGTTTTGTCACTTTCTTAATAGAAGGTTTCAGGCTTACTTTTCTCTTCTTTAACAGAGAGTTTCAGTCCTGATTTTCCCTTTCTTAACAGAAAGATTCAGTCTCAGTTTTCCCTTTTCTTAACAGAAAGTTTGAGCCTTTGTTTTCCCTTTCTTAACAGAGAGTTTCAGCCTTAGTTCTACTTTCCTTAACAGAAAGTCTTTCAGTCTTTCTTAATAGAAAGTTTCAGCCTTAGTTTTCCCTTTTTTAACACAGAGTTTTAGTTCTGATTTTCCCTTTCTTAACAGAAGTTAAGGATGAAGTTAAAAAGTTAACAGTTTCAGACTTTGTTTTCCCTTCCTTAAAAAAAATTTTTAGCCTTAGTTATCCCTTTCTTAACAGAATGATTCCCGCCCAGCTTCTTCTTCCTTAACAACCTTAAATTCATTGCTAGTTTTCCCTTTCTTAACAGTAAATTTCGGCCTAAGACCTCCCCTACTTAACTCAAACCCCAATCAAATCTATCAATCAGCTAGCCCACATAACCCTCTGATAGCTCCGCCAATCGACGACAATCTCCACTAGATATCGATCCCTCACATGACCTAGGCTCACATGCAATCCTCTCCAGCTTTGATCTAATCAACGATCAGCTCACATGAGTTCCTCTATACGTAAACTCGGGATTACGGGCAGATAAGGATATACTCGTATATATATTAGTCACTTTCGTTGGCCAAGATCATAAAAGCAAATAGTTAAGTATTAATCATCGACAGATTCCTTAAAAATCAATCTATATATTCCTTCGATTACCAACCAATTAATGGTTATGGCCTTGGCCAGCTGATCGACTTTAGCCAACAGCAGCAACAACTATTACCTGGGCAGCACGTGCCTTATCGCAGTCAACGCTGCAGTCGACTGAGCAGTCGACAGGCAGGCAGGCAGGCAGCCAGGCACAGGCAGCGTTATCAAGTCGCTGACCTACGACAACAGCGTCGACGTCGTCGTCGCCGGTCGTTCAGCATTGGCTGAGAGCAGCGCTGAATGAGCGGTACACACACGACGAGCTGCGAGCGGGAACTTCATTTCATTATGATTTTTTTTTTTTATACAAAAGTCAAGCATGCTGCCTGGGCGGTGGGCGGCCACAGCCGCTTTGCCAGCTGTTTTTAGCGCTGCCCGCCCGCAGCTGGCCGTCCATCTACGTCATCATTTCTGTATCAGACTCCAGCGCAGTCTGGGAAGCGTCTGGTGGCGCAAAAAACAAAAGCAATAACAGCAACAAAAAACCCAAAATACCTATGAGTAATCTTTCTGGTGAAATTCAGCCAAAAGGCCACAGCGCGGAGAGGCGAGTGCGAGAGCGCCAGTTCGACTTTTGAGCTCGAGAGTGGCATGACAAATGCTCAAAAAAAAAAAAAAAAAACAATTTCAAAAAATATACAAAAAAAAAACCGAAAAAACACAAGTAAAATGAAAATTGCTCAAGGCCCGATGGCCAGGCTGCTGTGTAATTGCACTCACGCTCGCTCGCTCTCACTCACTCACTCAGTCACTCTCCCACTGCCTCTCTCTCTCTGACTCGGCCTGCCGATCGATTGGGATTGGGAGATTGGGTATTGAGACCCGGAGATCGGTCTCTGTGACTCTCGTCGAGTCGAAATGATCGTGATGGGAGTGCGTGAGCAGCAGCGGGAGCAGCGATGACGGCCGGGCCAGCCAGCCGACCGACCGACCGCTCGACGGCGGAGGCTTACAAATTTTCGAACGCCGCTGCAGCGGCAGTCACTTAGCCAGCAGCCGTCGAACTGGAGAGACAACCAACCGACCAACCGACCAAACGACCGACCGACCGACCGTCCGTACGTACGAACCGATTGTGATAGTTGGCCAGCCAGCTAGCCAAGTTAGCCAAGTTAGTCAAGTTAGTTAGTGTTAGTTAGTTAGGCGCGAGAGTGCGTGTTACCGGACCAATGCCAGCCTTTACCTTAAACGGTACGCCCGGAATTTCTAAAGATGAACCTAACTACACCTCTTCCTACTCCTCCTTCTCCTTCTCCTTCCTGCCACCACCTCAACCAGCTGCATCTTGCATGGACAACCCACTAAAGCATCTTCTTTTCTTCTCATCAACAGTCAGCCAACAGAGCCAAAGCAGCAGCAACAGCAGCAGCAGCAGCAGCAGGAGGAGCAGCAACAGCAACAGCAACAGCAATAGCAGCAGCAACAGCAACAGCAACACATCACACAGTAGCTGGAGCTGCCATAGCCGTCAGGTGCTGCTGGTCATCATGATCCTGACTGCCGTTATGCCACAGATACAGGCCCGCCATTTACGGGATCAAGTGGCCTTAGACTATGCCTACGATGAGGACAACTCGGGACGATCATCATCATCCTCCTCATCGTCGTCGTCTGGTGATATCCTGCCCGCCTTCGATGTCAATCCGTATCGCGGTTTGGCCGAAAGTTTCGGCGAGGGAAGCTATGACAGTGATCTCAGTCTCAGCGAGAGTAGCTACGAGGAGATCGCCCAGGCGGCCTTCAGGGCAGCCAGAAGGGAGATGCGTCGTCAGAGGACGCGGCATGCCCGCAGTCATAATCTACGACTCTTTGCCAGCAAATCTGAGGTGCCGGAATGGGAGAATCCATGCGGTGGAACCTATACGGCGGATGAGAGTCTCAGTTCGGATAGTAGTAGTGCCAGTCAAGGACGAGTTATCAAGCGAAAGGTAAGGAATGGGATTAAGGTTTAAGGGAGGTTTCTTTAAGGGATCTTTAAGGGATCTTCGTAAGCTAGAAGCTAAAGATGGTCTTCTTTCATTCAAGTAACTAAAAAACGAAAAGAAAAAAGAAACAAAAAAAAAAACAAAAAGCAAAAAAGAAGAAAGATTATTTTGTCACTCTGCAAAAGATGCATTACTCATCCTTCCCCTCTTCTTCTCCCCCTTTGCAGCATCTCGAAAACTTGCGGAACATCACGATGAGCGAGTACCAAGACATTACCCACCGCGCCACCCTGGAGTACGGCAATCATCAGCACTGGCAGCGCGAGTACAAGTTCCTGCCGAACATGACGAAGCCCACATCCGCGGTAAGTTGAGTTTTGCAGATCAAAAAAGAAGAGAGAGAGAGTGTGTGAGTAAGATAGAGCGAAGCGGACCTGCTCCGCCCTGGGCGGCGCAGACCAGTTTCCCCTGTCGACCCGCCTCATTTGCATGCCCTTCCCTGGAACTCCCCCCAAAACTTAGCAACCATACTAAAGAACATCTTTTACCCCCCTCTCTTTATACTTGCAGGTGAAACTAAAGACCTGGTACCGCCACATGCAGACCTTTGTGGGCAGCTTCTCGTATCTGGGACGGGCTCAGTACAAATTCCGTAAGGATCAGCAGAAAAGTCTCAACGAAGCGGTCACCAAGGAGCTGCACGATCTCTTGGTCAGTGCCCGTTATATGCTCTGCGAGATCGAATCCACCATCAATGCCTCCTACCCGAACAGCAATGGAGCCAAACTGAGTCGTGTCAGCCGGAAGGCCATGGAGGAACGTCTGGATTTCCATACCCCAGCCAATGGTTCTGCGGAAGCTGATCAGCGAGATCTTAAAGTTAGCAAGGAGCTGTATTTCCAGTATTTGGATAATGTTTGGAAGACACTGCAAAGGGTCCTGAGGCGACCACGTCGGAATAGTGCTGAACGACGCCATCTAGCGGCAGTGGCGGCAGCTCATGGTACGGGAGCGAGCAGCCTGCGGGCAGGCAGCTCGGAAATGCTTGACCTAGGCGGCTCCTCTTCCGGATTAAGTTCAAATTCTGGTTCTAATGAATCCTGAGCTGTGTCCACAAACAGAACTAGTGTAGATCCAGTCAACCAAGCCAACATCACGCCCTTCCAGTATTACAGCGAGTGATGCTGCTCAAAGTTGCAAACATTCCCAAGCTTAAAACACAGCTTTTCGGCTCAGCAGCTTAAACCAGCAACAACGCTTCTTCAGCTTCCAAGCCAAATAGAGGATGACCCGGCCATTGCAAACTTCCTGCTTCTCATTCTACTCCTCGTCCTACTCCTCTTCCCACTCCTCATCCTACTCCTCATCCTCCTCCTTGTCCCTAAATCTTCCTCCAAATCCCGACCAGCCGAACGGGTGAAAAACTTAAGAATTTTTGTCGAATGCCATTTTAGACACGTACTTTTTAGTATTTATTTATTTATTTATTGAGTATCAAGTATCGAGTACCGAGTATTATAGTGCGCCTTCCATTCCAGTTTTGCCAAAACAAAAACCACTCCATTTCCCTCACTCCATTTTGGCCCTACACCCTCCTACACCCCAAAAGGGCCAACCTCGACTATTTATTTTCCATTTAGAATATGCATATATATATATATATATCTTTTTTTTTTTGTCTCTATGTGTAATAATTTATTTATTTATTTGTATTTATTAACTATTTATTTGTGAAAGGCGAAACAAAGAAAAGAAAATCGAAAAATCTTAAAAAATCGCCCAGAAAAAAACCAACAAAAAAAAAAATGCTTAAATCTACTGTGATTTCGTTTTAAGTACTTTTTTTGAATAGTTCTTAATGAATGTGTGAAAAACGAAAACGATTGTGAATGATAACGAAGCGAAGTATTGTACAGACATTCTTGTGCTTAGTTTTAAGTTTTTTGTGCAAAATAAAAGTTAGAAAAAAAAACAAAACTCAAATTCTGATTTAATAATTTACCAACTTTATATCGGAGAAAGAACAGCAAACAAATCTTTGCTTGTTCAATTTCCTGAGCTAATTTCATGCTTATACTTATCGCTTAACTTATAGCCATTATCTTCTTTTGCCTTAAAAAGTTAATAAAAGTTCCAACAAAATGACTCTTTCAAAAGGCCAACAAACTGAAAGCAAGCCGAAATTTCTAATAACAAACTTTGATTAGTCATTTGGCCAGTTAATAAGTTACCATGACATGTTATTTAGATAAAACAGTTCTAATTTTAAATTCAAATGTAATAACAAAAAAATAGTAAAAGATAGTTAGTAGTAAGTAGGCTTTATGAGTCAACTACAATGATAGACATGATAGACAAACTTTCCATAGAAACATAAAAAGATATCTTTTTCCCATTCAACCAACCTTAGACAGAATTTCCATAGCCCCCATCGAAAGGTAGAAAATCGCCTTAATAACCCGTCAATAAACTGATAGCCACTTCCCATTTTGCATTGCCCAAGCCCAAGTACTTGGCTTTCAGAAAGGCAAACTCGTGACACTTCCGATCGGAAGCTGCTTATCGGACAATTATTAATCAATATCTACTCCTTTATGGGCCTCTAATCTAGGTACTTGTGACACCCACCCACCACACCGTCCGCTTGCCCGATTGAGGCCCACTTTTCGTTCGAAGTGGCGCCCCACCCCCTTGAGATAGCCCAAGAGTAGGCATAGAGGATCGCTAGAGCTCCGTTTCCGTTTGCACTTGATGCACTCCATAAAGGAATCAGCACGTCCGCTGCCCGCATTCCTTATCGAGGGCAAACATCTTATCATCGGTTATTCATGCCCACGGTATTCGATGAATGCAGTCAGTCAGTTCGTGGCGTTTGCTTTAATTCAACTTATTGGAATTGCTTGGTCAATCGGCCATTGGCTATAGTCATAGTCACAGTGTCTGGGTGAGCCAATTGCCATTGCCGTAGGTCGTACTGCACTGGCATACAACCAGTGGTTTTTCCACCCACCTCTAAAACCGCAATCTCAGAGCGCATTACTCATACGACGCGTGGCCAGGCAGTGGCACGACCTCTTCTGGCCAGTTAGGTAAGGTTATCTTTACACACAAGCATAGCTTTTGGTGAGAATAACGGCTAGCAGCGAGCTTTTGTCTGTGTGTTTGGAGTTGATGCCGAAAAGTAGGCAACACTTTTTAACACAAGAGGGGAAATACTTCCTTTAATAGAAAGATTTTTATATTTCTTGTCGTTTTATCGGGGATATATAATTATCTTTGGCATTTGGAAATCTTTTATATATATTTTTAAAGCTTTTAGGCTTTCTAAGCAGTGCTGGCAAATACATTTTTTCTATAAAATTCCTCAAATTGCACTCTATAAACATCAAAAAATTTATGCAACCCTCTGAAAGTGTATAAAAAGCTCAAAACAACTTCACCTTTGCCAGAAAACCATGTAAACTAAACGTCAAAATAGCTACCAGTAATATCTACATTTCCCTAGCTGCCGCCATCTACTACCAATTTCCCTCTATTACTGGCAATACAGGTTATTTATAGCAAAAGTCTTTCAACTTGCCTATCAACTTCCCTATCAACTTCCCTTTCAACCTACCAATCAACCTCTCTTTCAACCTCCCTTTTCAATCAATTTGAATTGCCTTCATTGAAGGACTCTTTTTGTAACGTTTTTTTCCAAGGAATTCCCCTGCCTTTGGGGACCAAACCCAAACGGAGTGTCTATTTTTGGCGCCTCAGGAGTCTTACGGAAGCAGCCATCTCCTTCGCTCCCTCTCATACTGTCCCTTGTAAGCCAGGCTTAAAAAACTCTCTAGAAAAAGGAAAGACGTTTTAAGGGGAAAAACAAATCAACCGAATGATGCGATGACAAGGATTTTTGTCATAGCCAGCAATCGAGCGCAAAGTGTTCGCAAATCGCCCATTAATAATTTGAATTAACTTTTTGTTGCCTGGCCAAACACTCTAGCGAGGCTATAGGGGATATATATATATATATATATATATATATATAGTATAAAGGGATACCAGACCCACACACAAGGAGAACGCATTAAATTCAATTAACAAGACATTGTAAATATTGTCACACCTTTCACAAAAGTCAACACGAGGCCAACACTCGAAACTTGTCGTTGTTGCCACTTTATTCTTTCTGCATGCTGTGTTGTTGTTGTTGCTGTTGCTGTTGTTGTAGCTGCTGCTGCCGCTGATGTTTGCATATGGATAAGGCGGGCGGGCGGTGCCTTTGGGTTACCTACACAGCAGAAAAATTTATTCCTGGCCTACATTTGTTTGCGAAAAAAGAAGACAAGAAATTTTCGAAACTCAAAACTAAGCTGCATTTTTAATGAGCTACCACAAAAAAAAAAATTCTATAAAATCAACAACAAATAGTAGGAAAATGGAAAAGAATTTTTAGAAAACTAATTAAAAATTTAAGAGAAAATGTAAGAAAAAATGTTAAGAAAAATGTACAAAAATGTGTTAAAATGTGTAATTTGAAACCAACTTTGGGAGGGAAAATATAAAAAAAAAACCTTCAATTTGTGTTTTTTTATTTGCTAAAAAAATGTAAAGGAAACTTTGTTTGCAATTCAAAACTAGTTAAAATTAAAAACAAAAAGAATTAAATTTGCATTTTGATTTTTGTATATTTTTAGTAAATGAAAAAAGTTAAGCAGAAAATATAATTTGCAAACCAATTAAAAATTAAAACTAAAATGAAAGAAAACTAAAATTATTCCTGCACTAAAAAGTTGCTGCAAAGGTAACTTAAAACTTTTTTAATAAAAAAATAAAAAACTTTGTTATATTTTTAATAAACAAAGAAATGTTTTAAGTACTAATGAGGTGTAACCTAAAACTTAAACTTAAATCGCGAAACTAAAATATAAATCAAGCAAAAAATTTGTTTATATTTTTCTGTAAATTTTTTAGTTTGTTTTGGGTTACTAAAATGGGTTTTCCTACATTTTTTCCGTTTTTATTTTTTGCTGGTTAATTACTCACTTTTAAAAAATAAAAAAAATTATTCTGTAATTTAAGAAACTCATTTAAAGTTACTTTTTAAAAATTTCTTTCATAACTTTTCTATCATTAATATTTTTTTCAAATAGAGGTTAAAGTTTTAAGGTTTCTCACACAGAAAGGTAGACCTTGAGACCTCTCTTAACCCTTAGAAATCCTTTCCCCAAGAACCTAACCTTTACACTATCCTCCAAAAACCCAAAAACCCTTACAAAATTTCCTCTCACTGTACATAGATTGGTAACCAGCCAGGTAATGGATCAATTCGCGCCCTGACAACTTGCCAATTTTTGATTCCAGCCCCCCCTCTTATTTTTGTTTTTTGGCTAGAAGGTGCTAAGGTTAGAGGTCACACGGCCATATAGGATATTACGTACGTACGTGAGCTGCTAAGCCCAGACTTTTACTTTTCTTTTCCCTTTCCCCTATCTCCTTTCCCCTTGTTTTTCCGCCGCCCCCCTTTTTCCGAAACCGACACAGTCACAGTGCGTAATTTTGTCTATTTGATATGTTTGGCTTGTCTGCCAACCCCCTTTATTTCGATGATTGTCGCGAAGAGGGGGGACGAACGGCTGGTAGCCTCCCCCCAAATGAGAGCGTTAAGAAGGGAAGGCCTCCCCCCTCCCTCACCATATAGGTGGATTAGCGGGTGCTATATATATATATACATGGATGCATTCCGGAGGCGTCAGGATTTAAACCCAAAGAGGAATCGTCGTCGTCGTCGTCGTCATAGTCGTTGTCTGGATCAGGGATGCTTGACCTACATAACAGCCAATGGGGCAGACACCCCAAAGCAACCTCTCCGCCTCCCCTCTCCCCACAACCACCGCCCATGTAATTACGAAACGCTTGGCGACCGACTGCGGGGCCACTGGCGCCATTAACCCTAACGAGGCGGCGTCATTTTAATGAATATCGGGTTAATGAATATTTTATAGAAAAATGTGCAATGTTCGCAAGGCCGCAGATAGAGTCCCATCTAGTACCTGTGACTGGTCAGCCAGCCAGGAGCGGTGTGCATGGCTTACTTTGTGGGAGTTACTACTGCCCCCCTTTTAGGGGCATCCTTCTTCCTTCCTTCCTTGCTTTTTTTTTTATCCCACTCAATAAAAATTGCAGCGCATAGCAAAAGGGTCACGTAGTTTAATTTTGCTTACTCCGTGAATGAGTGCAATTGAAATGAATAGAAATGTGCAGCAGCAGCAGCAGCAGCAGCGAAATGGGAAAGCCGTCGCCGTTGCCGTCTATCGCGCACCTCCCCCCCTCTTAGAGGCGACCCCCCCATCACTAGTCAACCACCTACTACGTGTGAGCTTTTCGGACTCAAATTGAGCATGGCTTGGGCGACCGACTGACGATGCCTGAAATATTTGCCACATTCACTGGGAGAGTGAAAGGATTTGCATGCTTTGGCAGGACCAATATTAGATACCACCCACTACCTCTACTACCCTTTCTACCCTTTTCAAGGCTGCACTTCTTAACCCTCTCATAAGTTATACGAAATGCTCTAAAATGACACTTAAATTAGGCCAGCCTAGGGGTTAAGAGGGGCCAAACACAATGACGAGGTTAATATATATTTTTAACCTAAT